GCGGGGACAGCGGGGACAGCGCGGCCGCGAAAGGTCAGCGCGCCCTGCGCTGCGGGGAGCGCCCTCCGCTCTGCCGCTCCGCTCCGCACCCGCGCCTCGCCCTCCGCTCTGCCCCGCACCGCTCCCGGTGCTCTCCCGAACGCTCCCGCACCGCTCCCTGGTGCTCTCCCGAACGCTCCCGCACCTTGCCGTGTTTGCCGAGGCGCGGCTGGCTTTGCTTGGCTTTGCTTTGCTGTCGAAGCCCCGGGAGCGCTTCCCCTCGCCCAAAGTGCGGGCTGGCCACTCCCCGGCTCGCCGCGCCGTGTTCCTCAGCCCCGGTGGGAAGAGTGACGAGATTCCCAGCTGGGAAAGCAGGAACAAGGTTCTCCTCCGCCCCACTGGCACRGGGGCAGCCAGGGCAGCCCGTCGCCCAGGGAAGCTTCTTCTCCCAGGTGTGGTCCTGGAGGGATGCTCTGAATATTGCTCTGAATGTCACCATAGACACCAACCAACTCAGGTCCTCAAAGAATAATTTTTTTAAACTTTTTTTTTTTTTTTTTCCCTAGAAATGTGAGGTGTAAAGTAGCTGGCACTCGCTTTCTATGCCTCCCGCTGAGCGGCTACAGTATTTATACAGGAGTTTGAATAGGATTTCAGTCTATTCCCCTCTTCAGTGCCCCACAGGGATTCCCTGGTCTTCTCCAAAGTTACTGCCCAAGCATGTTCTGTGCTGCAGAAACCCACTCTGACAGCACCGATGCAGATTTATCTGCACAATTCTCTGACTTTTTTCCCTTTTTTTTTTTTTTTTTTAAATTGTAATCTCAGATAAGCACTTAACCCTCAAAAATGCAAAACCAGGAGTGTGCAAGGGCTCTGCCAGTAGGAAGGAAGCTCAGCAGGCTTCCCAACCGCTGTCAGGCAGGTCCCAAGTGTCCCACATTTGCCATACGAGGGCAAGCTCCTCACACTGCTGTACCCCAGCCCTTCCCAGTCCTCCTGCATACACAGAAGGGACATTGGTGAGTGGCATCTTGTTGGTGGTGTTTGCCCCCAGGCTGCAGATCACGGTTCTGATTCCACTCCAAATTCCCCTTTGATACTGCAAATGTAGCAGGTTATGGCTTAGGTGTCTCTGTGGGGCTGTTTTGTTTGAAAAAATAACATCTCTTCTGGATTGGTTGGGCTTTGACAGAAGAGACAGAAGATACATTGTGGTAAATACATAAACAAGAGAATTTATGCATATGCCTTTGTGGAATATAGCCCCTGGAGGCCCTGAGTCACAGTGGTTTCAGGCTACATTTCCTATCTTTTTTACTCCATTTTAACTTTTGGGCTGTTTTGGGGACAGTATGGATTGGACTATTTTTAAAGTGCACATCACAGGGTTTATTATTAGCAGAAGGGGCGAGTGGATTGTGTTGCACCGAAGCCTCACTCACCAGCTCGCTTCACCCCAGATCAAAGGCACTTGGGAACTTGCTCTTTTCCCTTTGCCTATAATTAATTTATTTTGGATGAAGATCTGCGATAGACCCAGATGTGGGCACCGGACCAACATATATATTTGTTTTACAAATGTGAGACACAAAGAGATCTGGAAATAGCGCTGGGTTCCAATGTCCCATCTCATGGTGACAACAAGCTCCGTGAGCATCTGCTGGATACAGCTGGGGTGGGAATCAGCCTGGATGTATGCACAGGGCCTTCACCATTGAAGTGTTACCATTCCTGGGGCTAAATCCCTACTGAAAGCCCAGCCAGAGGTAGATCACCTGCTTGATGGCACCCTTTTGTAACAAGTTTTAGGAAGTTTTAGCCAGATTTCAAGGATTAAGCTTGTCTTCCAGCTTCACACCTGAAAACAAAAGGAAGCTAACATTACTGACTCATTCCAGGTGTTTAAGTCTTAATGAACAATAATTTATCTTAAAAAAGTCCTTGCAGTTAAAATACATTAATTGCCTGGTATTATTTTAGGAGGTCTGGGTTGACATGGCCCAGATTTGGGGGAAAATGGAAAAATCTCTGTGTGCTGTGGAACCTGTGCTCCACCCAGTAGTGCTGAGAGGSAGGACAACAAATTCCCTTCCCACASCCCSAGATGAGCTCCMRCAGATCCTTTAGCTYCTTTGGAGAAGCCCATTGTTGGAAACTGCTATAAAGACAGCAGGAAAACCATGGCTTTGACAGAGCCTGCCTGACCTCTGTCCCCTGCGCTGCTTCCCCACACAATTCCTTTCACTGTCAATATTCCCTCCCCTGGGTGGGCATATGGATTTGGTAATTAGGCTAACAAGGGCTGGGCCACTCACCTGAGGTGCCAGAGCTGAGCTGTGGGGCTGCTCAGGCTCCAACAGRCACAGAGGAAATGCGATTTGTCTTTTCAAGAGCCCCTTGAGCTAAAATAGGCTGCTGGGATGACAGGAAGCAGAGGCTCCAGCTGCAGTTTTCTTCCTCAGCCCGTGATAAACCCAGTGTGCCATCCCAACACATACTTGTGAGGAGAGTGGCGGGGGCATGGAGAACCCACTGTCTGCACAATAAAACAAAAATGCTCTCCCAGCAGTTAGGAAGGCGACAGCAGGGCTTGGCATCCACACCTCCAGTGAGTGCTGCTGCTGGGAATATTTACAGTCTGTGAAATGAATTGTGTGCCTTTCTAACAACAATAAAGCAGCTCTGGGCTGTGCTGTTGGGGAGCTGAGTGAAGGCTCCGTGTGCTCAGGGTGTTTCTGGCTCTGAGGAAATGTCTGTGCRTGGCACCAAATGGCAAACCAGCCAAGCTCAGCCGCCCCTCTGACTTGGAGCTGCCTCTAGACTGTTCTTCTGAAGTCTTTTCCACTTTTGAGGGGTGCTCAGTGAAGGCAGGGATCCTCTCCAGCTCTGCTCTCAGCTGGGGCACCCGGAGATAAGAGCCCAAATCCCTGGCAGGCACCCGGAGCAGCGTGAACACAATCACATGATGGTGGAACAAACCCTGGCCCTGGCTGTGACAGCAGCACAGCCCCTGCTCCTCACCTTCACCACCACACACAGCACAGCACAGCACAGCACTCTCCATGGCTGCCCCGGGCTCCCTGGCAAAAAAAAAAAATAAAAAATAAGGGGATATTGGATAGAGTCCGGTTCCAGAGAGCCCTAAAATCACAGGCAATGAGAGCAAGATAAACAGAGAGTCCCAATATAAAAGCCAAGGCGAACCCAGAGGAATTATCAGGTGGCAAAATTAAATAAACAGGATGAGTGTTTTTTCTATGTGACGCAGTGAAACCATAAGATTATGAAGTAATTTACTAAAWAATAGTAAATAGAACAAAACTATATAGAGAATGCAGAACACTGTTRCATTGTCATGAGATARAATTGTCCCAAATGAGTGTKCTTGARATYGCCCAAAAGTCAAGCCAAGTCAGAAGCTTTTGTTTTTAGAGGGATGAGAAACATYTATGAAAAATAGCTTCACTGGTGGGTCCTGTACATAGTAGTCTGATGCTTATTTTCAGATTAGTGAGCTCTCAAAGCTCTGATGGTGGGGGAGGCGTTTGTGGGGAAGGATGTTGGACCTGTTTCCAATCTCCATCCCTTGCTCCTTACCCCTGACAGACAGTGGTCCTGGACTGGGTGAACCTCAGAGTATGGCAAGTCTCAACATTTGTATAGAGCCCATGTACCTAAAGCACAGACTATTTTATTTGGTTTGAACTCATTTAGGTGA